GAGAGAATGGCCATATCAATATGAGCTGTCCCTGCTGGTCCCTCTGTTTGAGGTTCCTTGGCTTAGCTTATGCCTTCAGCGTCCCTGCTTTGGAGCCCTGGTTAGTGAAAGTCCCGTCTGTAATATGGACGCTCACTATGGCTTACAGTGATTGATCAGCTTAGAATACAGCATTTTTGCCTGCCAAGCTGCTGATGTATTTAACAAGCAAAGTGGAAATAGGTTTGCAGAAACATGCTTCACCTCCCCTGCACACCAGTTTCCCCGACCCACCCCAGGTCCAGCAGCTTATATGTTGATTGGGACTGAGAACTTGTTCTCTGGGGCAAGTAGCTACTAGAGGTGAGAGGATTAAGTGTAATCGCTCCTGTCTCTAATTGACCAGAATGGAGCTCACTGCCTCTCTTGTTCTTCCAGTGTTACCTCTGAGTTTTCTGCATGCATCAGATCCAACCCGAGGATACTGATGACCCTTTCTAGTTATTGTCAAACCTGTTCAATTCCCACTTGTTCAGGGGCCACTTTTCTAGAGTGTAATTATCCAAAGAGAGGAGGAGTAATACTTACTATTTTAATGTAATTATAAGCAGCTTACAGAGGCAGCATGGTTAGAGGGCTGGCCTTGACATCCAGAAGACCTAGGTTCAAATTGTCTCTGACACACACTGTGTGAACCTGGCAAATCACTTAACCTGTCAGTGCCCCAGGGAGTTCTCTAAAACTATAAAATGCCAATACCTCATCTGTTGAAGAGAGTTTTCACACTGGGGTTTCCTATGCTGATGAAATCATAGGCCTGATTTAAAAAAAAATAAAGACCAAATAATAAGTATTTTTGTTATTGCTATCAACTGTTACATTATTACTAACACCTATGGGATACCAGTCATTATATGCACTCTTGGAAGTATAAAATAGGTGATAACAGATTTAGAAAGTCCTTTTAACCAAAAATGGGCACAATATTAATGAAGCATAGGGTCCGTTATCCCTAGGCAGGATAAAGAAAGAGTAATCAGAAAGGAAAAAGAGTGCTAATAGATATTCTGAAGACAAAAACCTGCTGAGATTCTGTTGGAACAAACACATCTCATTTGTCTGAGTAATAGTAAAAATGAACAATAGGTTGCATCACTAAACTGAAATATCTTTCTAAGAGGGAAAAAACATACAGGTATACATTGAAAAGCAACATTTGTCATAAGCTACACTCAACTTCTATCTAAAATGAGTGAAAAAAAAATCTATTAAGTACTTATTATGTGCAAAGCACTGCACTAAATCCTGGAAATAAAAATCTAGAAGAGGAGCTCACATTCTAAGGGGGAAAACAACACTTATGGAAGGTTTCAGCTACAAGGTGGATGGAATGTTCTCATGGTCCTTAGGGTACAAAAGTAAAACAGATGGTAATACTTCTTCTTTAATGTCATTTCCATTGATAAAATCATATTGGTTTCTATTGTTGAATCATTTCACAGTGCCATGGTCTTTGATGGCAAGAACTTTCCTTTCTGTGTCTACAGTATCTGTGGCCAATACACCTGTGGGAGTAATTGTTCTGATGCATGTTCACAGAAATTGCTTCCCAGGATGATGTGTAAGAGCACAGGGCTGAAAGTCTTACAAGATTAGAAGATTAGGGGAAAAGTTCAGCCTATAAAGTTAACTGCTCATGACTTGTAACTCTAGTCAAAAGCTGGGTGGTAGAAAGGGCTGGAAATATTGGTGTGAAATGAGGGATTTGCCTATCTGGGGACTTCATTTAAGTCTAGCCCATTAACCCCTGCTTAACCCTCCCCATCTTCCCACCCACCCCACCCAATGACTGAAGGGAATTGAAATTTGACTCTAATTGCAACTCTTCCACATACCATTAACTCTCCACTTAAGCTCAGTTACACCACATACATATTTTAGCCTCCCACCAATTCATGCTATCAACACACTAAAATCAGCAAGTTTTCTCTGTACACTTTTGTGTATTTATTTATTCAGTTGTTTTTAATCGATGCATAAAGGTCACAGCCCAGAAGTGTAATGGTGACCAGATATTCAGTACGCAATGGCCCAAAGTGTCTATGTGGAACATAACATATTTATCACCAGTCATAAATAATACTTTTGTTTCTCTTTCTTGGGGATGCACTGGGGTAGAGCAGGAATTCTTAACCTGTCTGTGTGTGTGTGTGTGTGTGTGTGTTTTAAATCATAGATCCATTTGGCAGTCTGGTGAAGCCAAAGGATCCCTTCTCAGAATAATTTTCTTTTAATATATAAAACTACATACATAGAATTATAAGATATCAATTATATTAAAATACGGTTATGAAAATATTTTAAAGCAAATTAACAAACCAAAGGTTAAGAACCCATGCTTCAGAGAATAATCTATGAAATGCCTTTCAAATAGCTGTAGCTCAACCTACAAGGGAGGTGACATTTGGTTCTGTGCTTACATGTCTCTGAAAAGAACCAGGGCTGGTTGTGTGCATTTCTCAGATGGGCAGAAATCTACCTTTGCCAAACATCCTAAAACTGCCTTTTTGTCGTAGCATCATAGATGAAAGCTAGAAGGGGTCTTGGAGGACATTGTGTCTGATGCCCTCATTTCATAAATGAAGAAATTAAGATGGGGAAGTTTAAGCACACAGGGTCACACAACTAATAAAAGTATGACATAGTCTCTTCAACACAGTTCTTCCTGACACCAAGTCCAGTACCCATACATTATACCATGCTGCCAGTAAGAACAAAAACAAACACAAAACAAAACAAAACTGTACAACAAAGAGAAACAGAAGAAACATAAGCAATCAATGCAATTTCGAAACTCAGAATTACCTATTGGATATATATTGTGACATCCCTAACCCTTAAGATAGATCTATTTTTAAGGCAGATGAGTCACAACTTCCAACTAGAAACTTATAATAAATCAGAACAGGGAGGCCAGTGCAGGAAGAGAGAGATATGTCAGGAAAACCACAATCAAAAGTGCTTGTCCAGTCTGTTTGGCAATTAGAGCTCCTCATAACCTAGCCCTTTCCTGCTTCCCTAGCTTTCTTGCACCTTACCTCTGCCTCTTTAGCTTCCTTGGCTTCCTTCAAGACTGAGCTCAAATCCATCCTTCTGCAGGATGCCTTTACCAGCCCCCCAGCTACCCAGGCCTCCCATTTCAAACACTCTCATCTACTTATCTAACAATGTAGTCGCCTCATACCTAGTTATTTACTTTTTGTATTGTCCCATTAAAATGTGAGCTTCTTGAGGTACGGACTGGTGTTTTCTTAACCTCTCTGTGTATACCCAACATGGTACCTGGTACATAGGGAGGGCTTAATAAATATTTGGTGACTGGTATTCTTATTTACTCAAACCTACCAATAGACATAGTAGCCTTGGTTTTTTTTTTCACCAAAGGATGAAGGTGATATCACAGAACCTATGTGCATGAAACAGAAGTAAACAGGAACCTCAAAATGCAACATGCCTGTGTCCTCTAAAAACTGGAGCTGTCTATTTTGCTTTGAAACTCCTTAATGGCACTGTTGTCAGGAAAAGTGATCTATGCCTAGGTTAGAGGTAAACTGTACACTCCTTGAAGGCAGACACCATGCCTAATACCATCTTTTCATCTCCCCATTTTTGTATCTCCTTCACAGTGACTTCTCTATAGTTCAATGGATCTCTAGCTTCTTACCTAAGCATAACTCATAAGTCCTTCATACATGCATGCTTCTTATGTCTTTCCATGAATTCTTTCCATAAATGGAAGATAAGCCCAACACATTAGAGGCTTCCCTTTGGCTCTTTTGGTATTTTTTTGTGGATACCAGTGCAGTTCTCAGGTCATTTTTATTAAACAACCATTCCAAAGCCTTTTCTAGGTTCATTTATCTTGTAGGTGATTTTACATCACTTTTTTCACATGTGAATCATTATTAGCAATAGGCTGAAATTTACTACTTAGGTGACTTTAAACAGGTCACTTAGCCTCACCAGGCCTCAGGTTCTTCATCTGTAGAATAAGGGGTTTGGATTAGATGGCCACTGAGGTCACTGCCAGCTCTATGTCTACGACCCTATATGCAAGGCACTATAATAGGAATTTGGGATATAAAAGGAATTTGGGATTTTAAAAATGAAACAATACCTCAAGGAGAGAATAAAACATATATTCAGATTCAGATTCATGAAGCACAATTTGTACAGACTAAGATAAAGAGACTAAGACTAACAACTGGGGATCAGGAAAGATCAAATATAGGAAATAACTGCTAAACTATGTTTTAAAGGAAACTATATTTCAATTCCTTTGAGGGAATTCCCTCCACTGGAGTGGAGGGAAGGAGTACCTCTCTCACATGGGAATAGCCTATACAATAGGCAACAAAGTGGGAAATGGAACAATGACTCCAGGGAAAAGCTGGTAGGCCAATTTGAAACAAGGAGCACATAGAAGGGAATATATAATATGAATTGATGGAAAAGGTAGGTGCATCATTCCCATTGCCTTTTGGGACATCTGCAGTTGTGACTCTTCTGAGTCACAGGCATTCTATGATCCACAGGCATATAGTCTCACTGGGAGAAAATGAATGCTAAAGAGAGAGGCTTTTGCATCAGTGGGCAACTTAACATCCTTGAAAGTTTTGCATGTAATAGATGTTTAATAAGTGGTTGGAACGAATTGTGCTGAATTGAGAGACAAAAAAAATCAAGCTTTTAGTAGTTCTAGTGGACTGGATATGATGGATGCTCATTGCTGTTAACAATGAGTCTGTTATGACAGGATTCCATTACCTCTCTTATTTGTAACTTGGAAGAGATCTGCTTCCCTCATCTGACAGAGAATTTCAGATGCATCAGGGTTCATCTCTGACCTAAAACATCCTTCCTCTCTTGTTCCCTCCCCTAAATAAATGTTCTCGTTGGAAATGTTTATCTTGTGACAATCTACATTTGATCATTAATTGTTTTTTTTTCTCCACCCCTAGGTTTCTGATTCATCAAATCCATTTCTTAATCGAATGCTAAACAGAGACACCATCACAAGAATAACGTATAAAAGTAAGTCCAGTTTCAGGTCTTATATGACAACCATCCTGAATTTTTGAGCCCTTCTATCTGATGGCAGAAACCTGAGTCTGAAAGTTTCCTAAGGTCCCTTGCAGCTAAGTGAGCATTTGATTCCATCAGAAGTCACTCTGAAGAACCAGTTTGTCAAGGGGCAGCTTATAATGAACAAAAGTCACCAGGGCATGTGCCCATCTGATATGATAATTATGATAATGATGATGGTCATCATTTTTCTGGGTGGTGGTAAGGAGCTGAGGGACTATGTGTTGTCTGAGAAGCTCAATGACATCGCTTGACCAACATTCTGGGTCCCGCAGATTAATGTACAAAAACTACACATAGGTTTGAAAAGTGGTAGCCAAGTACCATGGACAGAGCCCAGCTACCTCCAAGTGCCTGCAATGGGACTAAGTCTTTTTCACAGGGTGAAACATCCTTTCAGGAGATTCTTATGTATGTCCCTGAAACTTAGCTCAAGTGCATTATACATAGAAGTGGTTTCTTTTCATGTCTACACAACCTCTCAGCCATAGGAATCTACCTAGATTCATTCCTCTCCAGGTACTCTGAAGAGAAATGGCAGATGCATCCTGATGCTTACCCTCATAATCCCAGAGGAAGGGAGGAGAATAGTTTCTTTTTGTACTTGATCTAATAACAACCTAGAAAGCTAGGAGGGTTGAGAAGGTCCTTCAAAATAGATCTGGGGGGAGAGGTTGGAGGGACAAGTCTATCTAGCTTCTTTTAGAAGAAAGAGCACCAGGGCAACTAGATGGCACAGTGGATAGAACACCGGGCCTGGAGTCAGGAGGACCTAAGTTCAAATCCAGCCTCAGACACATACTAGCTAGCTGTGTGACCCTGGGCAAGTCACTTAACCCCCATTACCTCCAAAATTTAAAAAAAAAGTAAAATAAATAAATGCAACATTATAGGGCAGCTAGGTGGTACAGTGGATGGAGCACCAGCCTTGACCAGACACTTGACATTTATTAGCTCTTGACCCTGGGCAAGTCACTTAACCCCAGTTGCCTCACCAAAAAAAAAAGAAAAAAAGAAAAAGAAAGAGCACCCAAGTAGTGACAGATCTGAGATTCAACTGTTCTGACTCCAAATCTAGGATTCTTTTCACTGTACCTTGTTACTTCTAATTTGATAATATCTGTTATGCCTATTTAACAGGGTTATTGTGATGATCAAATGAGATGATGCCTATAAAATGTGTTGAAAACCTGAACGTATTCTATAGATGTCAGCTTTTGTTATCTCCATTACTATTACTGTATTTGTGAAAGCATTTTTAAGCTCACAGGAATTTGTGGTTTAGTGAAATGAGCACTGAACATTAACTCCTTGAGGTCCCTTCTAGAGGCAGCTAGGGGGTACAGTGGATAGAGTGGCTGGGCCTGAAGTAAAGAAGACCTGGAGTTCAAATGTGACCTCAGATATTTACTAGTTATGTGACCTTGGACAATTCACTTACTTGTTTGCCTCAATTTCCTCAACCATAAAGTAGAGATAATAATAGCACCTGCCTCCTAGTTTTGTTATGAGAATCAAATAAGATAATATTTTAAAGTGCTTAGCAGAGTGTCTGGCATATAGTAGGCTCCTAATAAATGCTTATTTCCTTCCCTCTTCTCTGACTCTAACACTGAAGATTTATAAAGCAAGCCATCAGAGGCAGTATAATGCAGTGGAAAGAGAATTGAATTTGGAGTCAGAAACCCTCTGTTCAAATCTTGGTTCTGCCCTTTACCTACTATGTGACCTTGGGCAGGTCCCTTGGGCCTCAGTTTCCTCATTTTTTGGTAGAGAGGAGTTGGACTAGATAACCTCTAAGCTTCCAGATCTAAGTGTCTGACCAAAGTTAAAAGGGACAAGAAGATGTCTTCTTCTCATGCAACTGGTTGGGTTCTACTGTAGATCATAACTTCCCACGGAATTTACCAGATCATCTCATCTCACAGAGAATGTGGCAAAAGCTACAGGTGGGAGGTCCTATTAGAGAGGAACCAGGAGTATTAGTGGATAATCCAGAGTCAATAGCCAACACTGAGACTACTAAGCTATGAGATAGAAAATAGTATATTAAGAGAGTTTGGGGGGATTACTGAAAACACATCATCCAGGGTCAGAACGCAAGGTTCAATGACAAGATGATAGGATAGTTTTAAAGTCAAAGAAAGACCTTAGGAACCCTCTAGTCCAACCCTTTTGTTTTACAGAGGAGGAAACTGAGGCCCAGAAAGGTTAAGTGATTTTTGTCAATGGATTTGAACTTAGGTCATTTGACTCCAAATCAAGTTTCCTTAGAGGACTCTGAATCCCACAAATTCCTTACTTAGCTGCATTCAACTTTCCTTGGTATGTGTATGTTTTTAAGACTATGAAAGGCTGTCCTTACTTTATAGCTCCAGCTATATTTACTGTCAGCATTTAGCACAGAGTCTGGCACATAGTAGGGACTTAATAAAGGCTTGTTGGTTTGACTTGATTATAGTTGGATAGCTCCCACCATCCTTGTTCCTCTCCATGAAAACAATAAGCCTTGGTGGGTCAAGGAGGTGAATGCTTTCAGGGCCTATCTGTAGAGCTCATGAAAAGCTTCTTTTCTTCCTTCCTCCCTCACCTGCTTCAGTGCAGAAGTGGAATAGAGTATAGATAGATACCATTTAGGCAGAAAAATCAAGCTGTTCAGATAATAACTCTATTCTTTCCTCATCAGTATTCCTATGCAGTCCTCTCTAACTATACATAAAGCATAGTCAGCTCAGGGGTATTTTTCTACCTCTTGTGTAAATAGCATATTTTATAACCTCCCATAAAAGATTATTATATTTTAACTTTTTTGATTAAAAAAGCATGAAAATTAAATAAAATGTCTTCAAATAATTGTGAATTTGTAGCTTGGAGATTGTGAAAAGCTGTGAAATTACATAGAAAGCTCCAACATATAATCTAACAGATTGCCAACCACCAAGTCAATGTTATCTGGATAGTTCTTCCTTTTCCTAAGCACTCTTACAATTAATATTAAGTGGTGTGACTGTTAAAGATGAAAGACTCAACAGGGCCCTTCATTATGTTTTAACTCCATCTATATTAGATATCCATGAGGAGTGCTGCCTTCATGCACGTTGGGGATAGAGAAATGGGAGGGGGGAGGATTTTATTAAGTTTTGTGATATGGTGATTCACAAGCCCAAATTCTTTCATTTTCATTCATTTAGTCATTCATTTGACATGCACTTATTAAGTATCAGCTGTTTGTAAAGCACTGTACTAAGGCTCTGAGGGAAATATGAAGTTTAAGTATGATTCAGTTAAGTGAAGCATCTCTGATTACCCCCTTCCCAATGAGGTCCAGTGGTCTGCTCTGGAGACCTGCCTCACTGCCTCTACTATAATTAATCATTTTACGTGTATGTGTATGTGTGTGTATATATATATATATATAATATATATATATATTATATATATAATGTGTGTATGTGTATCTATCTCTATATATATATGTATGTATATATATATATATTTTTTTTTTTTTAAGAAAGTGTATTACATAGAATATCCAAACATCTTGTTTCCAGTCTTGGCTTTGCCATTTACACCTAGGTGGCACAGTGGATAGAGCATAAGACTTGGAGTCAAGATGACCTGAGTTCAAATCTTACCTCAGATACTTTCTAGCCATGTGATCTTGGGCAAGTCACTTAACCCCTCTCAGCCTCAGTTTCCTGATCTGTAAAATTGGGACAGTATTCATACCTACCTCTTAGAGAAGAAGTAACATTTGTAAATATACTTTTCAAACTTTAAAACATTCTATAAATGCTAGCTATTATTTGTCAACCATATGGCCTTGAGTAGGTCATTTTAACTCTCAGGTTCTCAGTTTCCTCAAAATGGGAATAATCATTCCTTCCTTGTTTGGCTCATGGGGTAGTTGTGAGAATCAAATAATGGCTTATATGTAAAAAGGCTTTGTAAACTGCAACATGTTATAGTAAAAGATTTCTAGCACTAATTCTAATTCTAGAGTTGGTGTAGCTAATGGCATCAGGGAAGAGTAGGAAGAGAAGTAGCTGGAATCTAACTTACTAATGCTTGGCACCATCTGGAGTCTGTTATAAAATGAGCTAAAGCCATCCCAATTCCTGCCCCTTGTGGTTAGAGGTAACTGGAGCACCTGGAACAACTGGTATTTTGTGCTCCAATGTACAGACAATATAATGCAGCCATTCTAGGTACAGCAACCTTTCTCACATTACCAGAGTAGATGCCCAGCAGGGATAATGACAGTGTTTAAAAGAAAAAACAAAAAAACCAATGGCCAAAACACTTGTTATGTGCAGGAAACTGCTGCTTAAGAAAATTATTTACTCATGAGAAGATCCAAACCTTCCCTCTCCCCTCATAGTAAGTGCCCCTAAGTTTTCATGCATAGTGAAGTCTGACATTATTTGTAGTTAAGTGAGTTACTAGGTGATGAAAATAAGACAGTTATCTTGGATGTAGCCCAGGAGATGGAAGGTATAGGTTCACTGGTCTGCTCTGAGGACCTGCCATGTTGCCATTTATGAAATAAATCATTTAATATAATTTTTTTTGTTTGGACATCTGGCAGCTAAGTAGTACAGTGGATAAAGAGCTGGACCCAGATTCAGGGAGAGCTGAGTTCAAACCCAGCCTCAATCACTTACTAGTTATATGATCTTGAGCAAATCACTTAACTTTTGCCTTCCTTAGTTTCCTCAGCTGGAAAAAAAATATTACCTACCTGTCAAGGTTGTTGTGAGGTTCAAATCAGATAATATTTGTAAAGTATTGTGTAAATGCCAACCATTATCATCATCATCATCATCATCATCATAATTCTTGGAGGAAGAAGTGATGTCATTTGATTTCATTCAGTTATTTATCAATTGGTACACATGAAGATATCATTCAGGGTATCACTAAATGTGCATGGGAGATCAGCAGCACTT